GTATTTTGTTCTTGTTTTATTTAATTTTTTTTATTGTTCCATGAAGTCTTTGCTATAAAATAATCCTTCATTTGTTTCCTCTTTCACTAGTCCCCTTCTTATACACATTTTAATCACAGATTTTCTTAAAAGGCATATTCAGAATTTTTTTACATAATGGTGAGCTAGCATATGTCATAATTTGAATCAAGTTTTCATAGATCTCTTTTTTGAAGTGGGGGGAACCAGGGATTGAACTCAGGCCCTTGTGCCTGCCAGGTAAGTGCTTATTCTACTGAGCCATCTCCCTGGCCCCAAGTATTCAATGTCTTGTTCTGAAATCAATTTTCTTCCTCAGTTTGTGGTTTTGATGTGAAATTAATAAACATTGGTTAAAGAATATGTTGACTGAATTCATGTATTTTGTTAAGATATGAACTCAGGCTCTTCCACTTGCCAGGAAAGTGCTTATTCTACAAAGCTATTCCCCGGCCCCAAAACATCATCTTCTAACAATATATTTTTAATTAGTACTATCAATTTTCAAAAATTCAAGGATTAAAGAAGTAATTTCACACTTTCATGTGTTGCTTATATTTTGATTATATTGATCCACCTTACTATTCTACTTTATACCATAGGTCAGGCTTTTAATAAGAAAGTTGTTATATACTTCAATTCTGCCCAAACTGGCTATTATCTTTTTTATGACTTGACCTCAAATTGTTCAGTGACGACATTCCCCCAAAGGATATGCCTCTGGAAATCTTGCTTTAGATAGTAGTTCTTCCTTTGGCATCTCTGGAGCTCTGTACTGCACAATTTGAATTATGACTAAGGTCCCAGCGAGTTTAATTACAGCAAAACACCACTTTGGAGATTAACAAATGATTGATTCAAGAATACGTGTTATGGTGCAGATAAAGTATCATTGACTTTGTCTTAACCTTAAGGACTGTTCGTTTGTACAAGTATGCATACAGTTGTTTTGTTAGGAGTAGATAAACTCAACAGATGATAAAGTAGGGATTAAATGTCATCTCCATACTTAGACAACATTAAATTCAAGTACATGTGTGAAACCAGACCAGTACATTTGGCTGGTATTATCAATAATTTCATTTTTGCTGGTCGAAAATATAAGTCAGAAATACAAATGCATTTGATGAATCTTTTTCCAAAATTTGTATTTTGCCTAAAATACTTATTTAATATTGCTTTGTGTTTAGGCCAAATTTTGCAACAACGTACCCTTGGGGTTGTAGTTTTTATAAATACATGCCAGATTTCTTGTAGTTACAATTCTTGATATTAATTGTAAAACTCACAACAATTTAAAATTTAACAGCTTTGTCCGGAAGTTTTTATGACTAAATCTTTCTGTAAATATAAAAAAGAATGGGAACATCTCAAGGTGCAATGATAGGCATATGTTCTTTTGCACTCTGTATTTTTAGCAATGGCTTGAATATGTGATATTGTTCTCAGAATAGACTGCATCAAATTCTTCAAAGTCGTAAACTAGGAATAAGCGATCATCTCCTTAACCAGGTAAGTCAGGAAGGATATTTATGAGATTCTAGACAAGGCTTCACATATGCCTTTACAGAGTAACAGGAAATCACATTCTTTATAAAATTCTATGTGATTTTGATAATAAGATGGCCTTCTGTCATTGATAAAATATGTGTATATCAATTCCAATCTTTAATACTCCTTTTGCATATTTCATAATATAAATATTCACATTAAATGTATTCCTTTAGCGTAACTGTTCTTACAAACAATTTTGAAGTATGACTATTTAGATGTTTGAGTTTGGTTACTTGAAAATATATTCATAAGACAAGCCAAGTTGTCTTCTAGGGATTGTGTAGATGGTGAACATTAAAGGGTGAAGCCATCTCTATAGATGATGATTTTTGTGAATTCCAAGAGCTGCTGGTAAGTCTTGACTCAGTAAGCAATTACTTCAATTCATAGGAATGGTGTGGAATCCATAGAGGACTCAAATGTACCACAGGACTCAACTTACAGAAGAGCTTAGTCTAAAAAGCATTGAGAAGTAAGGTAGGCTGCTTATTTCGATAGATGTGGCATCAAAGGACAGCATTTTTCAACATGCAGACATATTGCATGAATATGTTGACACTATAGTGCAATACAGAGAGAGAAATTAATGAAGTAGAAAATGGAGGGGACATTAAAGGACTGGGTATGATTGTGAGTTGTGCAAAGAATGAAATACACAAAAGAAGTTAAGAGCGATCGTGAGGAAGACAGAAAATGTCTATGAAGAGAAAGCAGGTCAGAATTTGTGAAGTCAGACTGAAGGTAGTGTGAACAGAGAATTTTAAAAAACTATTAGTACTAAGCTTATTTTAAAATGCAAGGAGCTGGGCCATCCAGATACTTCAGCAGAGCAAAGCTCTTGCTTAGGCAGATGCAGGGCTCCATCCCCGGAATGCTGAGCGGGGTGCTGCTGAGACTGGGCATCGTGGCACATGCACCTGTAATCAGATAGCTTGGAAGGCTGCAAACAGGAGGATCACTACAAGTCTGATCTAGGTAGTGAGACCCTGGAGACCCTGTACTAAATACATTTTTAAAAATGAAATGCAAAGGGCTAATGAATATTGACCTACTTAGAGTTTTTATTCTGTGTGACAACTCCCTCTGCTTTTCTGTCTGCCTGTCAGCACCCGCTTTCTCCTTTTTTCCCCTTCTCTTCTCCACTTCCTGTTCCTCCTCTGCTCTTCATTCGTTCTTCTTCCCACATTCTTTTAATCCTTCATGTACAAAGACTTTCAAGACCACAACCTAGGTACATATCACAAATTGCACTTGTGCCTGCCTGAATAGCACAACTCTAAAGTGGCTTTCCAATGTACCTAAGTGCTTGCATATTCCCCATGCTCATATGGACCCATATGTTTATAAGTGTCTTGGCCTATGGTATCTTTATATTTGTTTTGTAATAATACCCTGTCATGTATAGATTCCTGCTTCTTATTCAGTAATAACATGTGGGGATTTCTCTAAGAGAACTGACATAACTACACTTAACTTATAAATGATGGCTTTTTCTTGTAAGTGATTTTATATGTTTACCCATTTCTCGGTTCTTATACAAATTAAATTGTAAGCTTTAGAAATGCTACCTAATAATACACAAAATACATTGTGCATTTGTACTTATGTGCTAAGGCTTTAATTTCCATGCATCAGATCACAAAGAATGGAATTGTAATGAATGGTATGTGGATTATAACTTCAATACAGATTGTTAAATTGTGTTCCAAAAAGCATAAAATTCAAAGTAGAAAAAATAATCTTTTAAAATTTTAACAGTCACCTTTAAATCTTTATCAAAGTTAAGCTCTACTGTGTATGAAATGATATTTGTGTGTTTTCTGTCATTTTAAACTTATGCATAAATGAAAGCACTCTATGCTTACCACTATTGGAGATGTAGATTTCTTTCATTGCCACTTATATCATCTGTCCACATGGTATTGGTTTATATTTTATATAATAATTCCTTAAAAGCTTTTATATATTTTAGACAAGAATTTTATGCTCTCTAAAACGTAATCCTATTCTCCAAATAATTTATCTATTTCTTTAGGGTGAACTAACAGTAAGAAACAAATTGAAAACAGCAATGTGCTTGCCTGAGGTACATATTATTTTTTTAATAAGCAATTAAGTTTTATTATTGTAATACAGTAAAAAGCCTAGACTTGTCATCTAAATCTGTTTTTTTCCGAAGTTTTATTGATAAATAGATAGCAATGAGAAAGTTTCAAATCAAATCAGAAGTACAGTTTCAACAAATAATACACTGCATATATACATTTTAGTGGTTAATTGCTGTACAAGATGCGAACTTGTGATCCTATATACAAACATCATTAGAACAAATCATTCTATTCATTAAGAGAATGCAACTATATATCTATCCTAACGACTTTGAATACACAGATACAAAATGGACATTAATCGGTATACCCCATTTATATATTCTAAGTTCCGTTATTGAATATTATAGGTGTGTAAACTCAGCAAAATATTCTAAAAGAGTCCAGTAGCCCATAATAGTATTGGGTATTCTGTTTAACTGGAAATGTCAGAAATTATTGACCTGAGTCCCCCACAGCTCAAC